CGTGCGGCTTCCGATGTAGGATACCCAGGAGGCGTTGGCGTTCGAGCTGGACGGGACTTCGGCGGCGAGCGGCCCTCAACATTGGTATGGGCGGCGTGGGGGGCGGCGGCGGCGGTCGACCGGGCGATGATGGCGGGGTGCGGCAGCGGGAGCACGCGGTCGGGGTCTTCGGGGTGGCGGTCGATGGAGGCGCGGACGTGGGCTTGAATGCGGGGTGAGGGGTTTGGGAGCATGTACGAATACGGGTGTACGAAGATTAACGCCCATGTATGGATACTGCTTGTGTGTAGATGGGTATATCACGGGGCAACGAGACCCCAGGGACATGAGAGGCAGAGATGACATATCGAGATGGTTGTAATATACCCTTCCGTTCGCGCGAACAGGCTGTCACGGGCGTCAACGTCTCTCCCCCTTCATCTCCGGGATACCTGTGTGTACGCGTAGTCATGAACTGCCCATCTCCTGGATACCTGCATCCCGTAGCCCACATCAGAGTCGACGTGATTGAGGGTTGCTGACTCGCGAGCTATCGCGGCTGATATCTGCTTCTCCCACGATCCATGCCGCCAGAAGGAACAGACACACTCCTCCTTCGTCGATCAGACGAACAAAAGGCCCCTCCCCTCCTCTCATCCCGTATCCGCACTTTTTTTTTTTCATCCCTTTCTGACGGACGGCTTTGCCTTTCTCCGCATGGGCAGATGTATGATTTTTAAAGGCAGACAAGACAGACAGACGACTAGCTCTAGTCGTGAACCAGGGGGGGCGGGGAGGATTGCCGAAGTGGCCGAAAAGCCGCTCAGGTACGGAGCAGAATTACCGAACCATCGGGCCATTGGGGGCCCAGAAAGCAACAATACCAGCATCTCGATCCCGTTGCGGGAAATTGGTCTTGGCCGCCCCTCCATTGCTACCACCGCTACGGGCTTGCCAACAACACCAGCAGGGGGGGACACCCCTGGCCGCTGGGAGGAGAAGACCAGGGGGGGTCAGATTGCCTCGCTACTAGGGCAGAAGTCTAACGATGATCTCCACGATGATCGCACCGGCGCTTGAGAGCGCTTTGACACGGGCTTGGCGGCAACGGAGACAGAGGCGGAAGGGGAGAGAGGGAGGGAGGGGAGTGCGAGCGGGAGAGGAATGAAGAAGAAGAGAGAGAGAGAGAGAGAGAGAGAGAGAGGGGGGGGGGGGGACAAGAAGAGGGAGAGGGAGAGGGGGAGAAAGAGGGAGACATGGAGAGAGAGTGAGAGAGAGGGAAAAAAAGAAAAAAGAGACAAGAGAGAGAGAAGGCTTGGTACCGTCTCCATGGATATGATTCCAGACCCTCCCGAATGGAAACGTGCATACGGCCGGCAGTGGAAGAACCCATGTAGGTAATGCATGCAAACGGCACCCAATCAGTCACGCACCCGGAACCACAAGGCCCTCTTCTTTCTTCATTATGTTTTCTTTTTGTTTTTTCCCTTCTTTTCTTTTCTTCTATTTCTATCTGTACACTTTCTCTTCCTACCTGAATAAAGACCTTGTTCCGGTACTGCAAACAGCCCCAACTAACTAGTTCCGTCATACTTGGGTTCCATAGGGGTTTCCAGCTCGACCCACAGGCGCTGAAGAGGAACCTCGCTTATAAATCAAGTACTTTACATACGTAATTTGGTATACGAGTACCTTGAACCCTGTCTAGATACCTTGCTCACTTAGCACATGGTACCTAAAGTATTACCGTGGGTAGGGAACAAATGGGAACAACCCCCCGGGAGCGTCCCATGTGCCCGGGACCGCTTAGAGCCCAAGCCCCCCCCCCCCCCACCATCCTACCTGCATACAGAAGACACACACCCCACCCCCCCCTCCCCCACCAGCCCCCGAATCGACGAGACTCGCTTTTCGTCGCCTGATCTTCATTTTACCATTTCAACATCCTCCATATCCTCACTTGTGTTGGACTGATCACATTCTTCCACCCTCCCCTCCCCCTTCGGTCGTCGACGGCGCGGGGAGCGCTCTTCTTCACCATGTCTAACGACGGACCCGAAGACGGAGATGCCGACACCTTGCGTGCGAACCACACCCACCAGCATCACCAATACCACCATCACCAACATTACCAACACCCATCCGATCCTCCCATCTTGCCCCCGAATCCCCCCGCCGTGCAGCTGCCTGCCGCCTCGCATCCCACAGACGACGCCCTCTTTCCTTTCCGCCTTTCAGACCTCCGACTGCTGGCCGAACCACGCCCGGGTGACGTCGAGGACGTCGAGGACCCCGGTAGGGAATTGTTGCACCGCGACAACCACGACGCCGAGCCCGACGCCGAGCCCGACGACCCAGCCGATGATGCCAATTCCGCCGCCGATGCCCGATCCGACACCCGATCCGACCGCCCATCGCTCGATGCCACCGAGGCCGGCGTGAGCACCTTCGACCGCGTCGCCGGAAACGACGCCGCATCCCTTGTTTCAATTGACGACGTGGTACGCCTCGCCCTCCCGCCCCTCTCCCCTCTCATCCTCGGTGCTCTGCTCTAACAGCAGACTTTTTTTGTTGTCTCCTTCTAGTCCATTGCGGGAGGTCAGGCGCCTTCGTTGTGGTCGCTCGAGACCAGCGACTACGAAAATGGCTTCCAGGAGAGACACGGGAGGACATACCACCCGCTAGGTGCGTCCATGATAAGAACCAGGCGCACACTTGTGCACTTCGTCGCGCCCTCCTTGCTGACTTTGGCCTGCTTTTTCTTCTTCGCATTAGAAGAGTACATTCTCCCCAACGACACTGTACGTTTATTATCGTCGACCACCCACCCTTGGTAGTTTTCTTTTTTGTTTTTCTTTTCCTGCTTGCAGCGCGCTGACAGGCTTTCCTTTTTCTTCTTCTGCGCCAACAGACTGAGCAGTTCCGCCTTGGTAGGTTCATCCCCCCCCCTCACAGAGATGTCGATTGTCTGACCGGTCCCGTCTTGCAGATATCCAACATCTTCTTTGGTTGGCCACCTGGGATGGCCGCCTTTGCATGTGTCCCAAGAAGGACGGCGCGTCGCGCGTCCTCGACGTCGGCACGGGGACCGGCGTTTGGGCCATGGCGTACGGTGAGAGGGAGCCCCATGCTGTCCTCCTCCTGTCTCTTGTTCCCGCTGACTAACCCTCCGTCGCAGCCGACGAACACCCAGAAGCAGTTGTACGAGAATGGACCCCTCTGAGCGCACGTGTTACGCACGATGCGGAGACTAACTTTGCATCTCAGGTCACCGGCGTCGATATCAGCCCCATCCAACCCCAGGTGTGAGTTGCCGAGATGCGCGAGGCGGTGCTTGGTGGAGGAGCTGACAATGCATCGCCGTCTAGGGTTGCGCCCAACTGCTTCTTTGAGATATACAACGCCGAGAGCGAGTGGCCGTGGAGGATCCCCCATGATTTCGTCTTCATGCGGCACATGAACACGGCGTTTGCGAGCTGGCGCCACACCATCGAAAAGGTCTTTAGGTGAGCGGTGCCCTCGGATCACGACCCCTCCGAAGAAGGGGAGGGGCAGGAACAGAAGATATACTGACACCCTCCGCCAAGGAATCTCGCCCCCGGCGGCTACATCGAACTTCAGGACAACACCTTCCCCATCATGAGCTACGAGGGCACCATGCCCCCAAACAGCGCCATCGCGAGGTGGTCGTCGATGCTGATGGAGAGCACCCGCCTCCTCGGGCGGCCCTGCGACGCGCCGTCGCAGTTCAAACGCCTGCTCGAGGACGCCGGCTTCGAGGGCGTCGTCGAGATCAAGCGCGTCTGGCCCATCGGCGAGTGGGCCGCCGGCCGCCGTCACTTCATCACGGGCTCGCTGTGCCTCGACACCTCTATCGCCGGCCTCGAGCCCTCCACCCTGCGCCTCTTCACCTCCGTCTTTGGCTGGAGCGTCGAGGAGACCAAGGACTTTTGCCGCGAGGTCGAGGCCGAGATCAGGAGCCAGCGGTACCACGCCTACTTTAACGTGTAAGTGCTCTTTCGCCCACCCCTTTCCCCTCTGCCGCACGCGTTGGTGATGGAGTTCTGTTAGCTGACACCCTTTTTTCTTTTAGATACTGTGTCTATGGGAAGAAACCCTACTGGGCTTGATCTGGGTCCGGGAACGCAGGAGAAGGGAGAGACCGGCGTTTTGGGAAAGCTTTTTCTTTTTGGCATCGAAAAAAAGAAGGAACATCATGATACCCCTGCAACTTGTTTGTTGCTTTCGCGATACTGGGCTACTAGAGGCTGCGTCTCGGCGTGGTTTTTTGTTTTTTTCTTTTACACCAAAACACACCCTTTTGGTGGAAAGGTAGACGGCCGAATGGTGGCAAACGAATGTGGAAAAAAGCAAAAAGTCCAAATATTCCAGAAGGAAAACTACGAAAAGAGAAGATTTTTCATTCACGCATCATCCTGTCTATAATTCAGATGCCGTCAGACACACGCGCAACCCCCCCCCCCCCCCCCTACAATGACCTTGCCGAGTGATGTATGGCCCAAATCACTTGGAGAAGTCTGGCGACAGAAATGTGCCCGTTCAAGGCTGCGCCTTGTAGGCGTCTCCGTAGGGTAGGGCCCGCACAGAGTTAGCAATCTGCTCTCCTATCCAGGAGCAGCTGAACGATGGAGTGAAAGCTGAGGGAGTGGGACTGTTCTCGAGGGAGTGGTGAAATCCCTGTTCGATGTTAGGTCCATGCCCTGGTTGAGGAAGAACTCTACCCTGTCTTTGTGGTTATGTAGAGTCGCTGGCGACCCGGTATCAACGACACTGCAGAGAAGTAATGGGGACGAAAGCCTAGACAAAAAAAGAAGCATCGCACATGCGGATTGACACAATCGGCGCAAGCGAGTGGCCTTGCTCAACCTTTCGGTCATCTCGCGAAGGAAAAGCCCCCGTTGCGAAGAACCAACACCGCTGCGCCGGGGTTGTGAATCCAAAGACCATCCAAGAAACGTTCATGTTCGACCTCGCCCTGGTCGGAAAATATGATGAATCGCCAAAATGAAGCATACTGGCAGAGATCGAGGTACATGGATGAAAGAGGATTCATTATCCTACATCCATCTAACTTGATCTCTCCCAGCCTGCTTTATTCTAGCCTCGTCTTTTCTTCTCTCGGTCTCCCTGCTCTCCTTCCCTTGCATTCATCGTTGAAGTGCGCAAGGAAGTCCTTCCGATCAGTGAACTCGAGGCGGTGGGACTCAACGTGGTCTCCCGTTCTCGGACGCAAGCACACGTACTTTTTGCCTCCAAGACGGCAGCCCTTGACGTGGTCCCTGGCGCGCTTCTCGCACAAGATCTCGCCGCAGCGGCATTGGTCCTGTCTGCGTACCCTGCCGTGTTCGTTCCACTGCTTTGTTACTATGTTCCTGAAGCCGCAGCGACACACAAACTCGGGGCGTGTTGCGTCGCACAGCCCAAGGGACCCGCCCAGGCAGGTGTCACAAGGGCATTGGCAAGTACTCCCCAAGGACATGTTGAAGGTGTGTCTACCCTTTCCGCATGTTCCTTGTTACGAAGTCCTGACCAGAGAAACCTAGCCCAAGGAAAGAAAGGCGGAATATCGAAATTGTCGCGATGGCTAACGGAAAGTCCCGAGGATGAGCCTTGGAGTCATCTCAACTTGAGGATTCTAGGGTTGGGAAAGGATACAAATGCCGGCCAAGGCGGCTTAGAAAACAACAGCAAGCCATTGTTGGTCAAAGAGAGGTCAGCCGGCGATCCCAAGTCATGCTGAGTTCGAGGCAGCGAAACAACCTGGAAATCGCAACAAGGCAACACGAGCTTCGATAGACCTCTGGTAAAACCATTTACTGATCAGAGATTATTTGAAATATTTATAGACCTCCATGATTGCAACTGCCTAATGGCGTGAGACGTAATAAAGCAGGCGTGTTTTGAATGTGTATTTGAGAAAGACCGAAGATGACCACGGGGGCAGTGTATCTTCAGTTGAGCGCTGGCGCGTTCTCATCGCTGCAGGCAGAAATCACACATACTCCAATTTGGAATAGTCTGGATGCTGTGGAAATATTTCAAAAGACCAGGTATAGCAAACCCTGTTCATCATCTACCCAGAACATTGGGCCTGGAAGCAGTCATGGCGGTAAGAGGCGGAGAGGTTGTGTCGTAGAGCAGGTTAAAGTCTATCACAGGAGGCTCATGTATGTGTGGCGGTTGTCGTCAGCCACACCACGTGCCATGTCACATGAACGAGCTCGAGGGCCCCCTTTATATGGGCCCTCCACCCGGGAGATTCGTCTTTACACAATTCAAGCCTTTTTCACTCATTCGTACCTCCCTATCTGCTGTGTACTCTAGCTCGTGAGAAAGTCCGATGGGAAGCTGACGGACTGTATCCGTAGTAAGGTGCCAGCACTAACAGGTGTTAATACACGATTTTGCGCCTACATGTAACATACCTATACTACTATATACATCTAGGTAACTGGCCTTAACTGATAATAAGCATCTCCTAACAATAGTATTCTATTTCTATTACTTACTAGGATGCTATCGGAAACGATATTCTTGATATTCGCTCTAGAGCGTGGCGCCCTCTGTTGTATCCAGTTTGGGTTTATGATGTTAACATTTTGGACACTGAAGCAGAACGAGATGTCTCGATCTACAGGCCACGTATATCTGCTCGAGTAGCCCTTTGAGGCAAGATAGAGAAGCTGAACCTGATGTCTTGCGATGATCTATAATAGCATGAACCATCTGACAACGAGGTTTGGCGTCACAACCAAACGAAATATGGCTCAAGCCCTCACAGGCAGTGCACCAGAATCTCCGACGCCAGGTAGAAAGTGATCACAGATCCCCGGTGCCTCGTCGTCTTCAGACCTACCCACGCGTGAATCCCCCGGCCATCTTGCAAGGGGCGGTTCGCCGCGGCCTCTGTTGCCCCTTGATAGGCTCTCAACGTTTGGATCCCGCTTTCTCCGCTTCCGGTATCACTCAAGTATTTTTCCAACCGAAGTCGGACTTCGGCGTCGTCGTTTGCATAGTCGTGGACCGGGAAATATACCGCAGACTCCGCCGTGATTCCATTGCCGTGATCGCTTGCGGTGAAACCGAAACAGGTCATTGGAGCCTTGCCTTTGTAGGGACCCTCGGAGCCGCCACTCAAGGTTGAGCAGAACCTTCGAATTTCCGAAGCAGATGCAGTATCAGGGGCGACGAGCGCAGCTGCCTCTGCCAGTTCGGCGGCACCAACGTTGTCATACTGGACGTAGGCTTTGACCCGAGCTTGGGGACCGGGACAGAGATCCAAAGCCAGAAATGTAAGCCTGCCACCCCGCAACAAGACCTTTTCAAGAAGAATCCATGCCTGTGGCATTCCGAGCCTCTCAAAAGCCTCACGGACTACTGCCGCTGCCTGCAACTTGCCACGGGCGTTGGGATTCAGGTAAATCTTCCACTCTGGTCGCTGGTCATGTCCAGCGACAAAGCTGTGCCAGGCTGCAAATATACCCTCCACCTGGGAAGCTGGAGGGAAAAACAGGTCTTTGACGGCATTGAGGCGCCCGAGAGACACAGTCTGTGGGTAGTGGGATTGGATGTCGGCGGTGAGCTGGAGAGCACTTTTCTGATGAGCCTCGAGCGTCGCAGCATCAGCCTGCGCCTCAACCAGGAACCTCAACTGTGGTTTTCCGGTGTTTCTTTCGATGGCAACCGAATACTCGATGGGGCATAAGTTCAGACAGACGTCCGGTCGCCAGCCACTTGGGAAATCGAGCACAGTCAATTTACCCCAGCCCTGCATGGAAATATCCAGCGCCGCTTCGATCAGTTCCCATGCTTCTCTACGCAGTTCCAGGGTAGCATGAAGCTTCTTCACATCCTTTTTGGCCTCACTCAGAAAAGTGGAAACAGGCATCGGACTGGTTGCGGAGTCATCTGCTGTGGATGTCACAGGAACAGGCTCCAGGCCGCTTTGGAACACGCGCATCCGCAGCTCCTCGCCTCGCGTGATTCTGGCACCAGGGATAGTGTGACGCCTCTTGTGCAAGGCAGAGATGGCAGTCGCAGTGTATTCGATGTGTCTGTCTGACATAACATACCGAGGGACCGCGAAGCGAACCAAGTTTGGGATACTGTCTCTGTCCTGGGCGATGGCCCCCTTCTTGTCCCACTCCCAACCGAACGGGCCGGCTTCGCACGCTCGGATCTCATAGTCTTTCAGGAGCTCCAGGGTGAAGCCGACGGAAGCGAATTCTCCGTAGGACCTTGCGCATCCGGCGAAGAAGCCATTCATGTCGAGGAAGATGGCGTGACCGCCGGGGGGCAGAAGAACCGGAATGCCTTCCTGGATCAGCCCTTCGGCGAATCTTTTGACTTGGCCGATCCGATCAGCCAGGTATGCCTCTTTGGTGACTTCGTAGAGCCCGACAGCGGCTGCCATCACATCTCGACCGCTCATGCCGCCGCAGGAATCGTTGCCGTAACACATAATCTGTCTCTCTTTGAGACGGATGCCAACATCCGCGCCAAACTTTCTCGAGAACATTCCTTCGTCGCGGAAGCAGAGCGCCCCGCCCATGGTGGCGAGCCCGTCTTTCTTGAGAGAGATGGTGAAGCCGCCAGCGTGGGAGAACATCTCTCGTACAACCTGCGGGACCGTCATGTTGCTATACCCATCCTCAAAGTCTTGGATGAACTTGGCGTTTTCCGCAAACCGGCAGGCGTCAAAGAACAGAGGGATGTCGTGTGTCTGGGCCAGGGCTGCTGTGGCCTTGATGTTGGCCATGGAGACGGGCTGGGCTCCGGCCCAGTTGTTTGTGATGGTGAGGAGAAGCATGACAGAGCGAGCGGCATTCCCGTTGCATGATAAGAACGTGGAAGTCTTCTCAATATCGAGGTTTCCCTTGAAAGGGTTAGACTTTTCGACTTGATCGAATGGAAAAGGATCGGTAAGCCCGGGCTGGGTGAGTGTGTGTAACTGGAAACCGGTCGCGGCGGCGTTGGCGCCGGTGGTGTCAAAGAACCCATTGCTGATGAGAGCCGGAGGGTCAGTGGTATCGTTGTTCAAGATTGATTCGTTCCGCAAGATCTCGCTCATCGTAGAGAAGAGCAACGATTCGGCACACCGCCCCTGTGGGAGGATGAAAAAGTTTGGCCGGATCAACTGCAGTGGGCCACCGTTGACGAACCCACCGCCAACCTCCTTCGGGAATGTCTGGCGGTAAAAGATGCCATCGGCAGTGCCGGCAAGAACATCTCGAAAGACGTACTTGCGGTCTTACCGCGCTCAAAGATGTCTCGGAAGGCCTCGAGCAGGCAATAGTATCCCGAGTTGCGGCCGTAGCTCTCGTCCCCTCGAAGCATGGCCGCCCATTGAACATCCGTCATGGCCGATGTGCCAGAGTCTGAAAGAAAGTCACAGGTAAGAAGTGCGGCCGGAAATGCGAACACGTTGTACTCAACAGATCGCAGGACCTCTTCTCTCTCTTGACAGGTGATGGGGATGTGGGGACGCACCACGAGGGCGTTGTGAGATGGTGGGATAAGTTGAGCCATGATTGGCACTATTAAGACCATGGATATAACGACCAAAGATATAATAGGCGGTAGAAGAAAAGTGTGTTGCTGGATTCAATGAAGGAAGCTTGTTGACAGAGCAAAGAGAACGGGTGACAGTCCTTTTATCAACGGTGAGATTTAACACTGGGAATATCATCAATCTGTACTCCAATTCAATATCCAGATGTAATTACGTCTCGAAACTGAACGGATAGTGTAGTCACCAAGTATCTGATTGCAGGCCAGATTGTTGCCAAGAGCTAGACATGAGGCGGGTACTTCCGTACTATTCGTGGATGACTATTAGCCCAGGATCGATAGCAAAGTTGGCTCTTACCAACTACCTTTCTCAGTTCAGCTGGTGTAAATCCCGACCAAAGGCTACAGCAATAGGTTAAGCGAAAGGTGGTCACTGTCAGCCTGCATGAACGACAGTCGCACCGAGCCATATGTACAGTGTCTCGCTACTACTTCAAGATTGTCTGCATAAGTAGTCATTCTGTAACCCTAGTTATAGTGCGAACAAAGGGGGGGTCCAATCAGTAATTTCCAGCCAAGGTACATATTTAAAGTGACATGTTGCGTATACAGTATAGATGTACATGATAGTTGACGGGAGGTTGGCAAGGTAGGAATGTCAGTATTAGCACAGCATCAGTGCTAGCTAATGTGCAGGAGGTGATGTAGTGATTTCTATGCGTGACTGCGGTGGTGTATGTGAAAGTGTGTGAGTGGTTAAGTGGTTGAAGGAGTAAAAGGCACCCTGCCAACCCTTGCTGGCACATCTAATGACCAGCCGGGAGAAATCGAACTCTCGCAAAATACGATGTAGATGCAATGCCAACGATCGACTTTTTGGTAGGACATGTTTTCTGGTACCATGAGAAATACCCCGTCATTGCTATACCAACATGGCTAGCTCTTAATTGATGTGACCTTTTCGTCTTTGGTCTAGGTAACCTTAGATAGATGTTAGAGTCTCCTACCTCTGATACCTAATTGATTCATCATATATCCCCCAAAAATAGGAATATTAGACATGTTGGGCGTCGGAAGATTGGTGCATGGCCCTCTATCGGAACTCCCAGAACGAGCGACGGCTGGCATCTCAGCTGCCCGTTGCGAGGGGGATTGGCCAGCTTAACATCTCGGCTGATTGTTCAACCTGATAGGGAATAGGAATGGACATAGTTAGTGAAGCACCATGCTCGCATACTGATGCAGGTTATCCAAATCCTCATTCTGGTACGAAGCCATCATCTCATGACGGCAAGTCTTGGCCCCGTCCCATGCATCGACAGCGACGGCAAAGGCAAAACCCCCGAACTGGGTAGCCGGAGACCCAGTTGACGGGAGAAGACGTACCGTTGACCAGGAAATGGTCCAATGAAATGCCGCTACCATGGTTCGTTTTGAGGAATTTGATGGGGGGCTAGGGCGCCTATCGAATTGATCCGTCGAATCGGGTAGGCCGGATCTATCGCCTAGAAACCTCGCCTCCTCGGCACAGTAGTGTAGCGTAGCACAGCTGCGCGCACCGTCGTACGTCCGTATCCCGCGCCGGGCCCAATCACAGAGGTTGGCGGGGATTGGAATGCTTCCGGAAACCAGTCCGAAAGAGGCGGGTGAGCCAGCGGGCGGGGTGAAAGATACCACGGTAGCACATATGCAGGGTGAGCATATTTGCCAGGGTCTTAAGGACGCCTCTCCATCGTCTTCCTCCCCCTCTCTCTCCGTCACTTTGTCGCACTGTCGGACCATCTCCTCAACCACACATTGAATCCTCTCGAGACGAGATGGCGGAAGTGCTGCAAGCCCAGCACCAGCAACAGCAGCCGGAGCCTGTGGAGGCGCCCGTGGGTCGACACAGCTTTCTAGCGCTGCTTGGATCCTTACTCACCATCATGCCAGGAGCCCCAGGATATCGAGGATGAGAGCGATGCGGTTTCACTGAGTGGTACTGTACGTCTAGCTGGGGCAGGCCTTGGCCCATTTGATCGTCGTCTTGGTCGTATCGTGACTGACGTCACCTTCTTTGTCTCAGTCTGTCCAGACTGATACAGACTCCCTGAAGTCGAGCATTCGCGACTATCGTAGAGAAAACGGCCGGACGTACCATAGTGTCAGCGATGGAAGTAAGTAGTCCGGGGCGGCGGTCGGCAGTCCATGGGCTCAGTCAACTAACTGCGCATCACCTCCATGTAGCTTACATCTTGCCAAATGACGTAGTATGTTGCCAGGTGTTTGCGCGACGAGAGTAAGAGCCGCCGGCTAACCTATTCGCCGGAAAAAGAGGGAACAGGAACGTTTGGGTGAGTCTTCGACCTCGTTATACGATCTCATCGGGACAAGCAATGGGCTAACATGGCTCAGACTTCCAGCATCACTGTTGGCAGTTGACCTGGGACGGCAAGCTCTGCATGTGCCCAAAGAAAGATGGTGCCAACCGCGTTCTCGACATCGGAACGGGGACTGGAATCTGGGCAATGGACTACGGTGAGCCCCAAACCACCTGAAAAGACGAAATCTTTGACACAGACTCCTTGCTGACGCCGTACAGCGGACGCCCACCCCGAAGCAGTGGTATGGCTTCCCCGACTAACCGGACTTTCTCGTGCGAATGTTTGACTCACCCCAGACCAGGTGATCGGAGTTGACCTAAGCCCTATCCAGCCGGAGTAGTAAGTGTCCCCGATAACTGATGCGTGGGAACCCTGCTCACCAGTCCGACAGCGTCCCGCCCAACTGCCGGTTCGAGATCGACGACGTTGATAAGGAGTGGACCTGGCAGGAGCCTTTCGACTTCATATTCGCGAGGCACATGAACGCATGCTTCGCCAGCTGGGAAAAGTTTCTCAAGCAGGCCTACGAGTACGTCTTGAGCCGCCAGACCTGTTTACGCACGCACACACACACACACACACACACACACAAGACTAACCAGTAGCACAGCAACCTGGAGCCCGGCGGCTACATTGAGCTGCAGGACAACGCCTTCCCCATCCTCTGCGGCGACGGGACTCTGAAGCCGGACGACCCGATGGCGCGCTGGTCGACGCTGATGATGGAGGGCACGGAGCTCATCGGGCGTCCGATCACGGTGCCCGCAGCCTTCCGGCGCCTCCTCCAGGAAGCCGGCTTCGAGGACGTCGTCGAGCACAAGCGCGTTTGGCCCACGAGCCCGTGGCCAAAGGACGAGGCCCTCCGCGAGCTCGGCCTCTGGACCCAGGCCTGCAGCCTCGAAGGTGTCGAGCCCGGCGCCCTCGCCCTCTTCACGCGCGTGCTCGGCTGGACGAGGGAGGAGGTGCTCGTTTTCATCGCCAGCGTCCGCAAGGATTTCAAGAACAAGAACATCCACGCGTACTGGAACGCGTGAGTGACCCCCTCCGACGCACCCGTGTTGACGAGGTATTTGCGGAAAACTGACTTCTTACTAGATACTCCGTCTACGGAAGGAAGCCTTTGAAGGATGCCACCCCCCCAGCCCCCTCCCCCTCCTAAGAAATAGGCTGGAAAGGATGGACGGGTAGCGTTTAGTAGCGTTTGGCGGGCAGAACCACGGGGTCACTTCTTCAGAGCTCTTGTTGCATTACACGCCTCCTAGCCTTGATATACCTTACATGAAGAAGACACAACACATCTATTCTTACTTCCTACAATAGAGATTGTATCCTAGGTCTGATTTCCAAACCAGGCCTTGTATGCGGGCAGCAATGGTCAAATGCCAAGGTCCATGTTGTGATGATTCATTACCAGGACGGTTTGACAAACAAATGCGGCGTACGCTTTGTTGATCTACCAGTCTCGGGCGTATTCTTCATCGGACAGGTTTGTTCTTCCCAAAAGTCCCGCATTAATAGCTATTGGAGACAAGGTGCTTGACTCTGTGATTTGCAGCACATTCCAGAAGTAATTCATAAAATGGCTGATCTAATCAACCACCTATGATGGAAGATTGTTTGTGTTAACGTATCCAATTTTGATACCGATCAAGAAGCGGCAATTCCATGCTCTGCTGCGTGATGAGCTGTGGTACCTAGCATTGATCAAAGTCTATAGAGAGAAATGCGAACGAGGAAAACCACATTCTCACACACCATCAGCATTACCATCTTAGACTACATGCATTTGTTTATTAGGCCGGGCGGGGAGGGGCAATGAATCAAACAGGTTTGTGTGCCAAAATCAAAGCTTGTCAATCGAACCCCGAGTCTGTTGTGCTGCTGCAACGGCATGTGTCGAACGAATGAGACCCCGCACCGCAGCCGGTGCCGAAGCGGCATTTCACACTCATCGATCATCATCCACCGTAACCCGCCATCTCTGAGCATCGCTCACGCAGCTGAAGGTGGTGATTAATCATAGTCACTCGGCACAGGACACACGAGGCGTACCATCTCATCCGACAGAATGACCGAGGCCGCATCCGCCAAGCCAGAGTTCCTCGCCCAGCCCCCGGGGCCGTGCTGCTGGGCCGGGACCCTGCATGAGGGCAGCCCCCGCGGCGGCGTCGAGGATATCCTCGGCGCACCGACTTATGTAGTCCGTCCCTCGGACGTGAAGAACGCGCCGGCGCCCAACGGCCATGTCGTGCTCTACTTCCCCGACGTCTGGGGCCTCTCGGTCAACGCGCAGTGCCTCCTCGACGGCTTCGCCGCCGCCGGCTACACGGCGCTCGGCATGGATTACTTCCGCGGCGACCCCATCTCCCTGTACCGCGCCAAAAAGGGACGACCCGG